TGAGCACTTTACCAGAGGGTTTCACACTCAACCCAACTGGAGTTGTATGCGAGGCAGGCCGGGATGGGAGACATGGTTGTTCAGGAAACTTTGACGGCGAATTGGGTTGCGGATTTGAGAGCTTTGCGGGAAAACATATATCTGGTGGAAGGATTGGTGATTTCGGTGATGGGTTTTCCGGTGGAGGTACGGGTGGAGTCAACAGCGAATTTGGCGGCGAAGCTCGTGCAGTTTGGGTGGATTTTAGTACCGTGCAAAGGGCTGAAGTTGAGGTGTTTGTAGGCAATGGAATAGGAGGATTTTTTGAGAAGGGTGGCGCCAATAGTAGTGGATCTGGCGGTGGTTCAGGAGCGTTAACCGGAAAAGTTGAGAGTGATGGTGAGACCGCCGCTAGTGGTGGCTTGAACAGAGACGGAGCTGACTTCGTGAAAGGCGGGTCAGCCGCAAGTGGGTCAGGTGGTGGCCCGGGATGTTGGTGTCGGGCGTGTGAACAAGGGATTGCTGGTGGCCATACAAATTTGAACAATGAGCCGCAAGGTAAAGAAAGGGTAAAGAGTGGCGATTTTTCCGATGGGTTTACTGGTGGTGGTCTCTTGGTCGGAGGTGGCTTGTTTGAAAGTGGACTGGGGTACTTTGCAGGTGGTGGGATGAATGAGTGGTGGATATTTGGTGGGTTCCATGGTCTTGCTGGTGGTGTTTGCAACGAATTTGAGGGGGGTCACAGTGGAGGCGAAAAATCTGGTGGTCTGTGTGGCTGGTGTGGTGGTGGACATGGGTGGCTTGCCGGAGAAAAAGGTGGGGAATGGCGCAGGAACTTCCATGGCAGATGCGGTGTTGGTCATGGTGGCTACACGCAGCAAAAACGTGGAGAATTCGCGGGTGGTTTTACCGGCGGTGGGGGTTTGACCGGAAGTGGAGCAAGAGAAAGGATTCAAGAGGAATGGGTGATTGGTGGCCTCTTGAAGTATGCAAAAAGAGCAGCTTTTGGCAGAAATGCTTTTGGCAGAGGGTTGACTGAAATTTTCAATGCCTTGGGGAGGAAGCCAATTATACAAGATGGGGTTAGTAAGGGCAAATTGGTCAATGGGCAGCTAGTGCTACGTGCATATATGGAAAGAAAAGAGCTACAGGCTAACCCAATTCAATTTGATGAAGCAATGCAAATTATTGGGCCCACTTACCCTTCATGTTTTTGGGCTTGTTAATTCTAGGCCTATCCATCCAACATCAGCTATGAAACCCAACTCTTATAACCTTATACATTCAAGCCAAATTTCACATCCTTCATCAACCTTGACAGATCATTGCTGTCGCCGAGAATCAAGTGCCGATTATTATCCACCTTGAGGACAAGGTGGAAGTTTAGGGGGCCGGTAATGTAATAGACTAACATTAACAAGGGTAGTTTGGGAATTTTAGTACTTTTAGGTTAGTAGCCCTTATTCCTAACTAAGCCTTAGTATAAATAAGGGATAGTGTATGCATTAGCTATGGGGTGAATTATGAGGAAAAATGTTGAGAGTAGTAACCTCAAGTTACTAGGAGAGTGATAACCTAAAGTTATCAAGAGAGTGATAGCCTTAAGCTATTAATCTATCCTTTTGTACCCACATTCTGCCACTATTAATCTAAATTATCAAGCTTTTATATCTTAATTAGTCCTTAAATTAGAAAATCCTAAGTCAGTCCATAACATTATCCCATCATTCCCATGTATAAATCAAACTATAAATTCTTCCCAAAGGTCAAGATACTTAATTCAGGTAACATAGCATTAACATAGTACAATCACACTTCAGAGCCCATTGAAGAATTCACATGATCACGTCACATAGTAGCAAGATATTACAATGACTCCAAAGTTCATTGAAGCATCATTTCAACAATATTGATGCCCAGCTCCACCTAAAAGCATTGGGTGATAAATAGCTTTACATTAAATCAACAGCCGCAAATATGTGTCACATGAGGGATCATATCTTTAATTGAATTTAGACCGATTAAGAAAATATATAAGATCAAGAAGGAATTAACAAATCTCAAATTTCTATAAATAGTCTAAACCAAAACCCAAAAAGTAGTGCTCCATGTCAAGACAAATGTCAAACAGCCACAAGATCTGATTACTGATTACAAGAGATCAATTATGCCACAAGCATATATAAATGGCTAGTTTGCCCATACTTGACACAACAATGCTCAAGTATCAATCAGTCAACCATGTCACTAAGAACCAAGACTAACAATTCTAATACGCAGCTTTAATGGCTAAAGCTAAAATAAAGACGCCTATGTGTTGTGTTAAGAAAAAAAAAAATCCAACGTGTTTCAACATCAAATTGCCCCAACAAACAATACAGATAACAATCGTAAATCAGCTTTCTCTATCCATTCCAGAAATTACACCAACACATGTTATAATATCACAAATTCACAATAAAAACCCGATACTGGGATACACTCCAACCTTCACAGATGCAACACAGTGACACTCAAAATCATTTTAAGGCTTCAAGCTAATTACCACTAATATAAAGTAAAACTCTGTAGAACCTTGCTGCACAAAGCCTATGGGCATCACTAAAGTGCTTACAGATTCCCCCCCCCCCAACAACATGAATACCTACATCGTCTATGATGAACACCAACTCTACTCAAGATCATAAAACTCAATCCGAAAACCTGAGAACCTCCTTTTATAATGACCAGCTCACTGGCGAGTTCACGGCATCATTAAAGTTCATAAAATTCTTTCTTATAACTCTTCAAAGAGCCCAATCAAACATTGCAATTTATGTCCAAACTTATTTCTATGGAAAAAAATAAGAATTACTTCGACATTTGCATATCCAACACAATCAAGTTTACATTTTTCTTTCTCATCTCTTGTTTTCGTAGTCATCAGTAACAGTTATGACAGCCTAGATAATGTATAGAAATCCATCACACGAGAACATACAGCATATTGCATCTATAATACCACTTCAGCCTAAAATTTGAAGGTTTTCATTAATCTCAGAAACACCCACAAAAACCCCAATCACAAGAAGCAGAAATTAAAACCTTTTTACAGAAAAACTAACATATTCACTTCATTTTAACATACTTAAACTCAACCAAATAAAAGGAAAAGAAAGAACCTTCAATAGCTTCTCTGGGAGTCTTGAAACTCAAACCAATACTCTTCCAGAACCTGTTTCCTCCTTTCCCAGGTCGCTTTCCCTTTCCTGTTTTCTTCGAGCTGCATATTCCATAAAATTATTAAAATCAAATAATATAACTTAATCAATCAACAAATTTAGCACTTTACAGAGTTTGAAGATTACCTCAGAAACACTTTAGGCTGCTTCAAAAAGGCCTTCTCGGTCTGTTTTATAAATAGCGAAATGTAAATTAATAAAACTAAAAATAGTAAGAATATTGATAACTAGATCGAAATTCAATTAATCGAAGTAATTAGATAGAATTAGTACCTGTTCCGCCATGATTGAGTGGTTGTAAGATGAGGTTCAGAGGAAGCAATGGAGGCGCCGCAGAGGAGAGAGAGTGAGAAAGAAGGAGAGAAGAAAGAAGATGAAGTGGCTTAAACCCTAGTTGGATTTTAATTGGTTCCAATCACTTTGAAATAAGCCCAACAACTTTAAACATGGACCAACTTCTAACATTGAGGGATGATGATTTTTTTTTTTCACAGGTTTGTTGTATTTTTAGATAAATTAGGTTACGGTCTTACGAGAAGACGTTAAAAAAGGTTGTATTATTGTTAGTTGAGAATCGAGATATGCATGAGATGTTTTTAACCCCCCAAGTGGCCTCCTAGGCTCTTTGTAAGGTTCGTATGAAACATGCCGACTTGTTTAGTTGTCGTGACAGAAAAAGTTAAAATTGTTCAAAATTAAAGGTTATATTCCAAGCTTTCGAAATAATTTTAAACGGTATTTCCAAAAATAAAATTAATGCATAGGGTGTACTTAAGGGTCATAAAAGTTTGCTTTCGATTCAATTTTGTGAATCAAATTCTATCGCATTGGTAGTCAAGAAGTGCAAGACATGGTTCTAAGTTCTAACTATATTTTTTGGCCTCTAAAGGTCTCATATGGTCTATGGGAAAATATACAATCTTTTTCCCTTCCAACCCTGAAAAAGTCGAAAATTATTCAAAATCGAAGGGTATAGTCCACACTTTCGGACTGATTTCGAAAAAATTTCCAAAAATAAAATGACCACGTGAGGTGTTCCTCAGGTTCATAAAATTAGTTTGGAACCACAGATATTTACCAACTGCTTTAATAAGTCCTAGGAATGTGTTGTTTTCAATTTAAAGACTATTTTTAAAATTCTATCGTATTAGAAACGATTCCATTTACCTAAATGGTCACTCGGGGTCTCATGGGATCCATGGGGAGTACCCAACCTCTTGAGATAAATAAGTGGGACTATTCCTTGAAGAAAACAAGACGGAGTAACAATAACAATACTAATAATAAATATTAAAAAATAATCAAATAACACATCTTACTCTCCACTATCGATATAGCTGGCTGACAATGGCTTACAAATTTACAATTGTGTGATGTCCATTCCCAAGTCCTAACATTGCATGTCAGGACTCAGGAGAACAAGCAAGCAGCCCCTAGCAAGCAAGGCGCAAGTAAGGCCATTTCAATCTTAATCATCTTCTCGTATATTTTCGAGATTTATATGATCCATGAATTGTAACTCTCTCTTTTTTTCTAAACGAAACAAAAATCATCTTTGATGTGAATTTGTGTAGCTTCCTATGTTTTTCCGACCAAACAACAAATCATTGTTGTGTGAATTTGTCCAACGAGCATTTACAAGGATTATATTGAGACTGGCAGATCAAGTCCCAGGTGCCACTCTTTACAAGAAAAGAGAACAAAATCATCAGAATAACCACTGTAAATTTCGAGTAGCACCTACACTTTCCTACTTAATATACAAGCAAGAATATGATTGGTGTCGCTGGCCAGGCAGGATGATTATAAGAATTCACCACTGATAAAATCAGTCATACAGTGGCATTGCAATAAAAAATCAAGATAAATATTAGAATGCTAAAGATTAACATAATTCATCAACACATCTGAATGCTAGCAGATCAAATCCTCTAAATGAAGATCCCACACAAAATTGTAAACCTCTAGCAACAGAGTAAAATACAAAAAAAAAAAAAAAAAAAAAAAAAAAAAGTAAACTTGCAATGAGTTGCCGAATGAAGCTAAATATCATTAACCATCATTGATCCATGAGCTGATAATGGTGTAGAAATTGCGTTGAATTACCTCAAAGATAGATTTTAGAGAGTGAAAGATGTATATCTGTATATAATCTGTGCATTGCATGTACAAATGGTGCCATAAGAGAAAATTATAAAAATAAAATAGGAAAAAGATGAACCTCTCTTCGGGTGCCTAAATTGTTCAAAGGCAAAAACCAAAATTTAACCAGCATAGCCAACATTGTGCTTGCCTCTGATGAAGTTTATCACTTCAAGAACTCGAATGTGATTCCTTGCTCTCTAGTACTGCTCAACAAGGCTGACCCCTTCCACTCCATCTTTACGCATCTTATGACTTAAAAAGACTTCCTCGAGTAAGATCATTCCGTCTGCATCAAGAAAAAGATTAAGAAAAAAGGTAATTATGTTACTTCTGGGTGCTGATGAAACAGTGGTCATTCCCATTGTAGTGAGTGTGAAAGTGTGTGCAAGTCAGCAAGTGTGTTAACTCTAAGTATAGTAGGAATCTCCACAAGAAGGAAGACAAGATTTGAAATATAATCCGCAATCTTCATTAGTCATCCAATGATCATAAAGAGAAGCTAAGCCCTTTCAAACTATGGAATCAAAATTCAAATTACAGAAATTTGTAAGTATCACCTTTCGGCGCTTGGGGTTGGGACCAGGATTATCATCAGCTTCCCGCCGTGATGTTCCAACTTCATGATCCTCTGCCTGCAATACAATAATGTTAATTAGCAACATTTACAGGTAAGAACTAGAATCACAAGAGAGCGAATGCTCACTGCAGTTGAAGAAGTGGAGCCGTTTCCGTGATGAGAAGCATCTGCCCCCGAGGAAGAAACATTTTGCACTGTTCCAGAGTTCTGTGAAATCATAGGCATAATCTGTTCAAGCATCCTAGACAAAAATATTCCTTCCTCAGTTGCTGTAGGTTCTGCTTCCTGTGCACCCGCACTGCTAGTCCTTTCTTGCTCAGTAACAGATCCCATACCTACTCCCTGTGAGGTGACGCTTTCTACCTGAAACTCACCGCCAGGGAAGAGTCCTCTCAGAAACTGAAGAATACCTGGAGGAATCTGACCCTCAGAATTCTGATCGCTTTGAATTCCTCCGGCAGACAGAATGTTGATATCAATGGTGCGAGACGAAATTGACTCCCTTAATCCGGCACTGGAAGGCATGGAAGCTGGAGCCCTACCTGCTCAAAGAACACAAAAGGGCAACATAAATGAGCTCATTAACAAGATCACAAGGACAAATAAGAGGATCCACCAAGTAATATTTGATCCTACGTCATATAGTACATTAATGCAGTAACAACCACCCATTCCATGGAGAATCCAATTTGCACATCTTTCGTAGCAAAAGCTAGCTGCATATCCCATATGCTTATTCAATCAAAGTATCCCTCATTGTATTATATTTATCGTGTAGCATGATTTTTTTTTTTAAATAATAATTATTATAAAGTTATACAAATTCAATGTTAACAAGGTTTCCACATCAAGATCAAATGTAACCTATTAATTTAAAACAGGGGTAGTAGAATGCCAGCGTCAGCCAGTTTTCAAATACTCCAAGCACACATCAAGAGACATACTAAAGAAATTATACCACCATGGGAAGGAAAAAAATCTAAACGATAAACTATTAAAAGCACTAAATTTGTAAATGTAAAGAAAAACAGGACCGGGCGCCAGCCCCTGTCCACCCTTAAGAAGTTCCGCCTCTGCCTCTATCCTCTACCCCACCCCAGCATGCTCATTGTCCCCGTATCCTAGAAAAAAACTTTTTATAATTAAATTTATGTTGTGCATACCCCCCTCCCGACACAATGTTACAAGACTTACAACTGGCTGCCATGTGCATACTGGCATACTTCTACTAGCAGACTGTATAAAATTGAAGCCAGAGTAATGAAAAAAAAAATGATTTCTAATTACCAATCCCAGCAGGAACTTCAATATTTTGCTGCAAGGTTGCAGAGTCAAGACTGCTAAGCGGCTGTGTCTGGACGCCACTAGAGTTATGTTCATTGGACACTTGATTTCCTGCTCGACTGCTCAAATTCCCAGAGGGTGAATACCTTCCGAGAACAGGATATAATAATCCTACAGAACCACCAGAAGCGTCTTGAGGTGAGTGATTCAAATCAGGAGCAGCAGCCATCATTGTCCTAAAAGGTAAAATACGAACAGCTGGCCCACTATTTGAAGATGGGGTGGCAGAGGTCCCAGTAGAAGATTGGTTGATTGGTGCTTCTCCAATGTTATTAGTCGTAGAGTTCCTTTGACCTGAAGATTGCTGATTACCAGCAGGTTCATTTTGATAAGTCGATGAGCCTACTGGCATATGAAACATTAATTAGTAATACTGAAAGATAATGCACAGAATTCACATGCACAAGAAAAACAAATAAAAAGAAATGTGACAAACCTCTTCGTATTTGTATATCTATGCGTCTAGGAACAAAACCAGTACTGACTCCATTAATCAAACCAGAGCCAGATTGTGAGGTTCCTGAAACAGGGGTACCAAAACTTGCTCCAGGCTGGAATGGGAGAGGCTGTAAAAAGCTATTTAGTCAGAAAAATGTTTAGATATATGGACACAGAAACCTGTAGGTGATTAGAGAGTACCTGAACCATAAGTGGATTAGGCCCAGATGAAGAAACAAAAACTGCAGGGCCAGCATTGACTACAGCTTCTGACTGCAAACAAGCACATATCAAGAGGACACATTCAATAATGGGACAAACGGGACATAGAATCTGCAGAAGATAGGAAGTCATGACTCACAGGTGATCTGCCGAGTCTCAGTGTTGTGACAGTACGACCAAGCTCAAGAAAGTATGCACCTAGATTCTGTAGAAGGATTCCATTTCTCAATGCGCCTGATTGAGCAGTAACCCTGGCCCCTGGATCTGTCATATTTTCCTGATTTTCGAGCTGCCTTCCAAGTTGCTGCGGACCAATTTTAAACTTTGCATTGTAATAAAAACTCAAAAATGTAACTGGAGCAATAAAAATCTTCACCTAGTTCTGAGTACCAAAAGAAACGAGTGCAACAAAATTTTAACATCACAAAATTTTAGCAACTGTGAGAATGACAATCGTCACTCAGTTTGGTCACAGACGCACTTGACTGTGCTAAACATATAAATACTTCTTGACAGATGATTTGATAGAACATACAAGCAAACATTCTTCCACTTGTTCATTGAGCATCTGCCTGGTAGCAGACAACAATCTCGCCAACGACGTCGGAGAAGGAAGTCCTTCTATCACATTCTCTGATTGTGGCAAGGAACTGGATCCACCTTCATTCTCATGACAAGAAATCCCACTGTCAGTTTCACCAACCCTTCCTGTTGGGATAATTTGGAGATTACATTATAAATTAGCCTAGAAATAAAATAAGCAACTCAAAATTAATTAATATTTAGATGACACATAAAAATGAGAACTAACCACTGTCCGTAAATTCCTGTCTCATATGACTTAAATACTGTGATAATGTCGCAAGAGAATCAGGGATTACCTGCATACCCAAGAAACATGGCAAGTAAGGAAAAAAAAAAAAAAAGAAAAAAAAAAAATAACGAGTTCCGTATAAAGCAAGAACAAGTTTGATGGTATCAACAGTGTAGAGGGATCCAGATGTCAGCTGGAGTACAGCAACAAGGAAGAGTAAGTATCACACTGCCAACAAGGTCCGCAGCACTCAAGATATAAGCAATCTTAACTCGAGACATATTTAAGCCACAGTTGACAAAAGATTAAGCAAGGGTACCGGGGCCTGTAGGGACCCAAATGATAAGCCCACAGGGATCCCGAAAGCATTATGAAGTCTGGATCCGTCATTGGAGCTTCTCATCCCAAATTGTTCAGGTGGTGTAAGGGTTGTATCAGCAGTGCCATCAAGAATAGGAGTCTCTCTAGGTCTATCACCAACAGGGCCCTGCATGAACAAAGCCAAATTTGATAAAACAAGGAGAGTACACATGTGCACAACACAAGATAAAAAAACAGTACTCTACCTATCTCGGTAAGTCGGTCAATTTTATTATTCTCAGCTAATATGAGTTTTAATGTTTGTTAACAATCATAAACTTGAATAATATATAATAGGAAAGTAAGTGCACATGCCAATTTTTAGTTTAATGGATTGTAGGAGGAAATAATGTCTGCTGAATATAATTTTCTTTGACAAATAAATAAATTCTTTTAAAATGGGTGAACTACACAATTGATGATAGAAAATGCAACACGAAGGTTCCTCCTATATTTTTCCCTCCTACACTGTTACCAGCTTAATGGGACGGAGGGATTGATAAAGAGAAAGAAACATTATAATCAAAGACCCAATTTTCCTCCTTTAATACAGTAATACTTCACCCTTCTAGTCTTTGGCAGTTCACCCATCAAAGAAAGCCACACCGCATTTGGTATGGTCTTCTATCATTTTGAAAACATTAATAACTCTTTTCCTTAACATGGCTTGACTACTCATATTAATACCATGTACAGATGTTACACATTTTTAAAAGGCTTTGGATCTTAAACCCAGAAAATCTTACCCTGATACCAGTTCCTACATAGCCATTTTCAGGATTCGTAATGCCTATAGAACCAAGAACAGCTGATATAATCTACATAAAAATAACAAATAAATTCAAGAGGGGCAGAAATGGTCAGACAGCACATATCATGAGAGTGAAATAACCAAGTCTCAATAGAGCATAGCCTTACCCTATTAACATCTGGAAGCACTCTGTCCCCTTGTCCAGGCATATTGAAAGTTTCAACAACAATACCAGGAGCAACTTGATAATATTGACCATGATTACCACTTGAAGATTGATCAACGGCTGCAAAAAAAATTCATTAAAATTATGTTATAATAGTCTCTTATTAGAGTAACAGAAATCAAACAGTACATCTTGCGCATCAATAGCAAGACAAAGGAGCATAACCCATAAGGCAAGCAAATAGAATTCGTCATGCGAAGAATCCCGTTTGAAAATTAACATCAAGTGATAACAAGTATTGATATCTTAAATCAAAGATTCATAGTAGAAATTTACAGCTGAATTTTTTTTATATGCTTCACAGAGGAAAACACGAAGGAATTACAATAAATTAAGTACCAATAGTCTCAAGAAAGTAATTTTAATACTATCTTAGTAAAAGCTCATTTCTCAACAGTACAAGGCTGTTAGTCAATATATACATACAATTAAGTGATTGTTTGGTTGAGCATAAGAAACAATAGTTTGTAGGAAGTTGTAATGCCCAAGATGTTGTTTGATTAAACACAGGAAGTCCACTTACCTAGGGGGTAAGGTGGGGTTTCAAGGTAAGCAACTACCTCCATACTGTGGAAATTGATACTTCTAGGTAATACAACTTTTCATGTTATTGATATCACAAGCACATGTCCCTAATAATTGAACCCCAACCTTCTTTAGCCTCACGCCATATCCCTAATAATTGATATCACAACCACATGTCCTACCTTCAGCTTTCACCACAGCACCACACCTTTCTCTTTGAACACACCCATGGCTAAACCTCATTCTCTTTCTCACCAACACCCCCCCCTCTCTCTCTCTCTCTCTCTCTCTCACAGTTCTTGTGGGGTGATTTTCTCTCCCCCTGTGATACATCTTAGTTGTACTATGATAACAGTGGTGGTTGTGGAGGTATGATTTTCTCTCTCCCCATGATACATTGGTGACTTGTACTACGATAACATTGGTGATACATCTTTGTGACTTGTACTATAATAACAGTGGTGACTTGTACTATGATAACATTGGTGATACATCTTAGTGACTTGTACTATGATAGCATTGGTGACTTGCACTATGATTACATTGGTGACAAATCTAACAATCCCTCCCCTTCCTTCCTGAAATTGTATCCAAACGAAGTGTAAAACTATCCACAGCAAAGTTCGATAATTGATTATTTCCCCAAAAAAAAAAATAGAATAAAAAAACTGTAAGAAATAAACAGATAGAAATCACGACACTCCCACCGACAGCATAAACAAGAAATAAATAAAGAGAACTAAAAGATAGTATATTCCTTTTGACATGAGAAACAGGGAAAGAAGCCAAAAAATAAGCAAATTATTAATGCAATCAAACCTGTATCCGTGGGTAAGCTCCCAGATGATGACGCAGTTGGTTCTCGAACTACCATGTGCAGAGTATGACCATCTTCCACATCTAGCTTAAGTTAAGTAAACTTGATTATGAAAACATTTAAGCAAGGAAAAATAGAGTTATACAATGGCTATCCCCAAAAGTCTCACCAACTTAGATGTCTTAAAGTAGACATATCCTCTTTCTTTTCATGTTAGCATTCTCATAAGCTATAACATCCTTCAAAGATCCGCACAACAATGCATCACAATCAAATGGTACAACTTAGAAGTTTTACAATATGCAAAATGTTCTGTCTGAGATATTAGCCAGAACATTTTGCTCATGAGTTGTACCACTGACACCCTTACAGCACTTTAAGTTTACTCTAGTGATGAAACCAACTAAAAATAAGGATTACCATACTTCAAAACTTTGCTCTTTAACCAAAGGATCTTCCTAGACGTGAAATGAAGGCTTATGCTTGGAAGAATGGCTTCTTACAATAAATAAATAGAAAAAGATGCTAACTATATCTGATTACGCCTCTAAAAGGTATAGCCATTCAAACTATTTCCTAAAACAGGAAATCTAAATTCCATCACCTTTCACTTCCTATCCATAAAAGAGAACATCAAAACCAAAAATACCTTACCATTACCTTCAACTACAATATGGTCATGATCACATCACATTCACATTTCTGATTTGCCTACAATGAGAAGCAATAATTTATTGAGAAAGAGTGACTGCGTGAAGACTAAGATTTGACTTAGCTAGATGACACAAATAGATCCTTGTCCTGAATAACTTCTGCTCCCTAAGCAACCGAATTGAAGACAATGTAGAACTTTGCTCTGTATAACATAATAATTGCAAATTCCACAATCCCTGGTGCTGTGGTGCACAACTCCTCAACGAAAAATATTTGGAAGGGCAACAAAAATCTGCCTTGATGAATCTGTTGAAAAGTTGATAGAGATATATTTTCCAGAATTAATCATGTCTCTAACCAAAGCATTTCAGATAAGTTTGTTAATTAAATCCTGCCTTATGCCTAGCAACTACTTAAATGGTCATAAACTCAACGGATACAGGCTTGCTATCACCAATTGAAACCCACATATCAAGATCAATTTACAAAGTAACAAGATTCAATACTCCAGATGCTGGACACAGGAAAGAGGAAGTATATATCCTAATATTTACAGAGATTGTTGGTCATATCAAATGATAAATTGATCAGTGTACATCAGTAATTAATTCTCTTATGCTGCCCTCCCATTTCTTAAGCCTTCTCTCTGCAAGGCTTGTAAGTATACAGGAATATGGAGTCCTAAGGTTTCCCAACTCCCCACATAAATAATTTGAAGTCTGCATATAATCTGTAATAAGCAATATTAAGTGTGAAACCACAATAAAAGCAAAGCCCACTACTTTTGATGATAATGTCCAGGGCATCACAGAAACTAAGGTGCATAAGCCAAGAATACATTAGATTTTAGAAGCAAATGACCTTCACACTAAAAGATAATAAAAATACAAATAAAGCCACAGTGAGAGAGGATACGATATGCAGATAGCAACTGATCATCTTTAAGAACCTTTCCTCGACATATAAGGCGTTGATGCTCCGTTACAACACCAGTCACAGAAGCAATACGTTCTTTCAGGGCAGGTACAGGCATCTGACGAGCACAAGAAAACCAAAATAGTAGTTAGACATGAAGAACCACAGTGACTTAAAGTTGAATTAGCAAATAATAGCTATGAAGCAATCAATAGAAGCAATCAAAATCAAGTTACCTGTTTATCCACCTGCAAGGTATATGTTTGAGAATCCATTGTTTTGATTTTGATCTCTATAATGGTCCCAGAACTACCAAATTCATCCATCCCTGACACCTCATTAGCACTGTGTGCCATCCTTGACAAACTACAACAAACATGTCAAAAATGAAATTAGCAGAATAAACCAGATATATAGCGAATGTACGGTACAATGATCTCAAAACATATACCACTTAAACCTCCCTACATAACCCCCCCCCCCCCTCGAAAAAAAAAAAAAAAAAAAAAAAAAAAAAAAAAAAAAAAAAAAAAAAAAAAAAACCCTAAGTGAACAACAAAGTTCCTCTGCCATTCCAAGTAAGGCAGATACCAAGTTCCCAGAAGCACAGACACTCAATTATATAACCCTTTCTCATATGGTACAATATAGTGGACAACTAAAGTCACAATGATTGCTTCTGTAGCAAGAGTACAATTAGCAACTAAAGTGGCAATGTCAATGAATAATTCAGCAGAGATAAGACTAAGTAGATTCTATTCATGTAGCTTCTCTTCTCTTGAATAGCAAAGCAGGAGAAAATCAAACCCAATAGTAATAAGGAAACATGTATCGAATTATCTACTAGTACAACCAATATTGAAAGATCAATTTAAATCAAATTAAGTGTTATCAAACAGGTATATGGTTTAACCTTAAAAAATAAAATAAATAAAAAGATGTATATGATTATCAATCCTCAACTAACACAAAACAAGCACTCAAATAATCAAATGTATGCAACTTTATACAAGTAACTTGAATTGTCTTTGTGGCTCATTCATACAATCAAAATGTACATGAACGCCACTAATAAATGAAATACACACTCACTACGTTAATAGTTTAAACCATAGTTATAGTGTGACCTATGCAAGGAGGTAGTCAAGACAAAAACAGGAGATCATCTTTATGCAAAACACAGAAATCAATTTTACAACCACAGCACAATCCTAATTCTGCTCCCACTACCAATCCCAATATACACCAAACCCAATATTGATAAACCCTCTCCTCAATATACTCGTTTTTGTAATGTATTCATGTGATACAGTCCAGCACATAGCAGAAAACAAAATTTACATGACATCGGAATGCATAAACTTAAAAAGTAAAGCCTATAAGTAATGCGCAATCAATCACTCATTGAATCAAATAATACATCATATTGAGCTAAGACGAAAGGAATGGTAAGCAGCCATTGGAAATGGCATGCCAGTAACAATATCTGAGGAAAATCATAATTGCTAATCACCAAAATAATTCAGTCCAGCATAATTCTATCATCCTCCACCCCCAAATAAGCCACAACAAAGCCGGTGGCAGGGCAGCGCTCTTATAATGAACAAGGATTCTCAATCAGCACAAAACAATCACTTAAATCACATTGTCAAGATATATGCAACCTGAGGATTAGCTCAATCATTCAAACACCAACATAAACACTGAACACTAAATCAAATCATATCATTTCAGAAACCCTATTTCTGGTGCCACTCCTACCACCACCCCATATCAAAATCACACTAACCAGAGTAAAAACTGATAACAAGAACCCGCAATTCAATGCAAGAACCAAAATTAAATTGAATTTCACACTTATAATCTACACCCAATAACAAAAATAAAGGTGGCAAAATCAAGATTAGGTCTTTTCAGGATCAATCAACAAAAACCCCATATAAAATCCGAACCCACAAAAAATCACAGCTTATACTCCCGAATAACATAAAATTGACAGCAATCATAATGACCATATTACAACCCACAAACTTTACCAAGAATATTACATAAAAAAAAATAAAGAAATCAATCAAGAAGTGCAAAAACAAACCTAAAAAACCAAATTGAAGAATACAAAAAAGAAATGAAAATAAAGAAAAAACCTTGATTGATGTGTAATTCTCTCTCTTTCCTAAAGCTGGAAGTCGGGAAGTAGCAGCAGGAGAATCCCTTCACAGAAGACGCTTATCTGGCGTAAGCGTGGCAAAAGAGATCAAATCTCTTACAGATCAAATAGAAAAGTTTTTAGGTGGGACACAAATGGTAGTGATGAACTTGTTTGTTTGGACTTGTTTTCTCAAAGCAATAAATAATTTCTCGCCCTGTTTGTTTAAAAATAAAAATAAAAAAGTTTTAAGGCGAATAAAGAGGGAAATGCATTTCCGTCTCGATAGATAATATATTGTGTTTGTAATTGTCTAAATACACTTATTTTCATTGAATTTAGCTTAATGTATTTAATTGTTTTATCATAAATCAAAAAAGTTAAACAAAACAAGATAAGAGTATCGACAAATAATAGTGGGTTGTTTATAAGGGTGTTTGCCAATCATTGGCCATCGTTTACTTCAGTTTATTGTTTACCAAATCAGAATTATTATTTTTTTTATTGATTTTTACTTATTGCAATTGATTTCTATAAGATATAATTGATTTTTAACCAATTTATATCATGTAAATGAAGATAATGATATCGTTTGATTTTTGTTGACCAAAATTTACTCTTATGGAATGTTATTATATTCAAGGTTGATAAACACATGGCCTTCAAATAATGTTGATTGGTTTGCATGCTTGATCATTATAATCCCATAAACATTTCACTAGCTGTTATAAACTTATATTTAGTCATTTAGCACCAAAAGACTATTAATCCATGAATTTCCGACCACAGTTTCTAACTCCCTAATCCCAAACTCTAACCTCAAATCTCAGTTGTTTTTTTTATTCAATTAATCTAATTCGCTAAAGAGCTACGAGTATTTGAAAAGTTTTTGCTTAAAAGTTAAAGTGTAATGTTTAACATGTTTACCATGGAGTTACTATTGCAATAAACACCACTACAAGCCTACAACACAATTAATTTTGCCTAATATACCATGATATATGACATAATTAACTTGTACTAGAACAAAGCCTAGCAATGAGGAATTGGAATAAGTAAACAACATTTGACATATCATACAAGAAAAGTTATACCAAACAAGTTTGGAAAAATACTTCACATACTCCGAGTAGTAAGTAATCAAAGGCAAGCTTTTTGTTTTGTTTATACAGAAATTTTGTGGATGGATAGAGAGGAGAAATAAAAAAATAAAAAAAAATGGCATGATACCTTTGTAAAAAATAAGGCCTTGTTTGGTTCACCTTATTTTTACTGATCTGATCTGATCTGGTCTGGTCTAATCTGATCTGATTGTCTGATTTGACCAAACTTTGACCTTAAGTGTACAATAATCTATAAGGAAAAAATATATCAAGTGGGATCTTGTTAGATTCGTAATAATGTGTAGTTTATTAATATGTAATTTTCACAATTTTTTTCATTACGAAATTAAGAATATTTAGCGATAAAAAACCGCACATAAAACGATGTTCTGATCTGAACTTATTTTTTCTGATCTGATCTGACCTGAACTTATTTTTTCTGAAATAAGTAAAAATAAGTTGAACTAAACAAGGCTTTACTTCCTTTTGAATTTTATGAAATTCCCAAATGATATTTACTTATATGTATATTGTGTTTTTTTTTTCTTTTCTTTTCGTGAAGTAGGCGGCAATCCCGGTTGTATATGTATAGTAAATCTATTGCATCCAATAATGTTATATGATTAGCATTCTAAAGTGGAAAAAAAAAATAAAAAAAAAAAAAAATTAAATTAGAAGCTACATTCAACAATAGAACATATAACTTTGTAATTGCCAAAGATATGTGTGTAAACCACAACACATGCGTCTCATCCATGACGTACGTGCTAAAAGAACATTACATATTTTGTTCTTCCTCGATCCCTCATATCCCCAATGCCACAAATTCACTTTCTCCATTTTCAATTGAGTTAACTATTTTAATCCTAGGGTTCAATCTAATCAGCCTTTCGCAGTTTCAATGTTCAGTCCTAACACCCGGCTATGCAAAACATGAGTAATGTAGTTGACAACCACAACTATAGTCTATACTCTAATGATACAAGGTTGATATGGGCTAAATTACCAAGTATTGTTTGTCCAAAAAAATTCATACGAAGTAAATGAAGTGATGGATTGGTTCACTACTTACTCAAATGTGTTATTAATTCAAAAATGTACCTTCCCTTCATAATAACCATAAGTCCATAAGTGATCCATAAAATACGGTCCACCATAACCTTTAAGTTTAATTGGGCCACTCACAATTGCATTTATCCAACATACATCATGCGAGCCCACATGCAATTTTTTTAGAGTGACGACTCGAATAAAAAACCATTGCAATTAATTATAGAAACATGGTGGCCCCCACTTCTAAGGCCCAATTGTTCCCTTCTTACCTGCTTTTATTTATACTTCAACTACGGCCCCCACTCACCTCCCTTGAATTTCTTCCTAATTTCCAAACTCTCGAAATACGAAAATATCAATCTTAATAAAAAAAAATGATAATGATAAATAATAAATAATGATAGTAGTATTCTTGAATTTTGGCCCCACCTTTCATTTTTCACATACCCAACATGTCTATTAAAGCACAAACATATCGTATTCATACTTTTCATGTATCATCATCAACTTGAATGATGATTCTAGCCTTTCAAATCAATTAGTCCCATACTCGATGGTATAGTATCCCATGTGTCTTAACGAGTTAGATTTTCTCTAATCTTTTTGCTAAGCATTCATGTGAAGCGATGAATATATCTTTAACGAGAAAATTCTCTATTCACATCAGATATGCATATGTTAAAAAATTAAGTTATGTTTAAAGATGACACAATTTTAAGGATTTTGAGTAACAATATGTATGTAGAGGTTTAAAAAGCATCGTCATTGTTTAATTTATAAGTATGTGATGAAGAGATATGCTTTTAAGTTGTTGGAGACAGTTGAATTGAAGCCCTTTGAAGATCCATCATGTGTTTTAACAGAATAAGTTTAAACATGCGTAAGAAAAATGTAATTCTCCTTTGGCCAATTTTCCAAGACGTACTGGATCGGATGGAGCTCCATGTGAGTATGATGCATGGGTGTGACTCATCACAAGTGCGAATGATACACATTCAAATGAGTGAGCGTGTTGACTTGATATTCATACACTCCGTCCGTACAATGCAAAGAGGAGGTAAATAAATAATTGAGACCCATGATATATCAGTGTGCATGCCACAAATTTGTGATAAGCTATATTCCAATTCCTTCCACTTGCATATAATTCACATATTCTTGTAGCTCAAGTATAGGGCGGCGAATTAAGATAATTAAGAATATTCAAGACACGTGTATATGTTACGGATTATAAGTTTTCAATGTCCGATAGATCCATCATTATGACTCAACCAACACTCTCAATAATACATTATACATTAATTATATTATTATTCACAAAGGATATTTTTTTCATTATCTCAACACGTACTATGTTACTACTTCATTAAAAAAAAAGAAAATAGACATAATATATATTCGCTAGAAAATTCCTTCTCCTAACTTATCATCAATCTCATTACATACTATATTTCAATTATATAAAGTAGATTGATTTAAAACGAACAAAGATAATCAAGTTGCTGACTTGATTGAAACATAGTAGTGCAATAAATCAATTCAAAATTAAATACATAATAATTAGAGATATTAACGGTTAATTAAAATTTTATTTGGGCAAGCATATAAAGTTGAAGTGTTGAAAATTTTCAGGCTAAAAGGCCAGGTACTTGATATATATCAAGGTTTTACATGTGGCTAAAAGGACCATAGTTATTCTTTGAAAAGACAGTAGTTAGTCAAGCTTTTGGTTCGAATAATACTTCTAAAAAGCAAAATTAGAGAACATACATATTCAACATTAAAATATAAGCAGCTTTTAATATGGATACTTTTTCATGAACTTGTTACATCATACATTATTTCAATTATATAATATAGGTTGTGAAAAGCCTAATTAATTAAGCAAGATCCGGGAATACTAATTATGACTCAATCATATATATCTCTCCCTTTAAAAATAGGTTAAAAAAAAAACCCCTACTTTATGCATGAATTGAAATAATAAACTATATAGTGTGTATATCATTAGCTATCTCTAAGCTAATTATATACAATATCTATAGTCCTAAGAATTAAGCTAAAACCCTAAAAAGACTGCAGCATTTCTGTAATGCTGTTCTTTTTGTGCTCTATCCACTATATGCTATTGCTAGCTTAGCTAGCCAGCTCTAAACTCTCCTTTCTTCCATGCATATTCCTTGTATTTCTCCATGAAAATTGGAGAAAATAGTTAATATAAATGCTTTTGATTTCATATTAAAACATGCATATTTTTATCTTATTTTTTTTAATTGTGAATTGGAGGTTTTTTCTTTGCTGGGGAGTAATCCATTACAGTCATGTCCATTGCATTCTCATATTCCGGAGGAGCAATCTCGTGGTGCTTATCAAGAGCATACGCCGTTGATGGATAGTTATGATGAATTGAGGATGATGATAATGTTTGAGCTTCGTCTTCCCTTTTGGTGCTCATCCTTTTTTCTTCATTGTCCAAATTCTGTAGATTAATGGAGCGTGATTAAAAAAAAAAAAATTTAAATTACAAAGACCTCTAATTAGCCTTTTGCTTTATCATTCTTGTTTGTAACATTCTTAAATTTTAAACCTTATATTATATTATCATATGTCATATCAAATTTCTAGTGCAATAGTGCATGCAATGTTTGTACCATGTCAATGATGGTGCAACAAAATTAAATAAAGGAGGATTTTTTTTATTGGTTAACCTTAGTAGGGTGCATAAAATGTACTTGATGTGTTAGGATTTAGTACCAACCTCTTGGATGGGTTTAGCAGAGGAAGTTGGGATGGTGGTTGAGGTAATTAATTTTCTATACTTTCCTGCAAAAATAGATAAAACAAACCTATATAAACATAGAGAATTAATTAAGTAAGACTTAAAACTTAATTAAGTGTAATCAATCTTTAAAATATATTCTACCACTACTTCAAGACTTCCTTGAAGATTAAGTAGGAGTTACATGTAATGTCATGGGCTAGCTAGCTACCTCCAAAAAAAATCTGATCTTAATCCAAGAATATGCCTAAAATTAATATTATGACCTAAGATGAAAAATATTAAGCTTCTTTTTTTGGCAAAAATAAAAGCAAGGATGATATATGAGGTATAGCTAATATAACTATAATCTAATGGTGCCTAGGGCGATGTCTGTAAGGTCCACGGTAATCTTCATGAATCCATGGAAACCAATGACGATTATTATGATGAGGATGATGATTATGACGATGATGATGATGATGGTGATATTCATTAGACTCCTTGATGACTCTTCTCTTCAAAGTACCTTTTGATGAACAATGATCTTCGTCATCTTCACATTTAACTTCGGTTGATATCTCCCTTTTATCAACAATAATATAATTCTGATCATCATCTAATCTCTTCATAGTATTTTCATTCTCCTGCAAAATAAGTAGATGTTTAGATACTAATCATATAAAGAAGTTTTAAGACGGAAAGTTTAATTAATTAGGTTCACAGTGCTGTAGAAATTCTAAATAGTACAAGAAGGATCAAGAGATACATACATGGACAACCAAGTTGGTAGGTTGAGAAGTAGCCGATCTCATGGCAAATTTACCAAGGCGAACACCTATAGAAAATTACAACAATTATACTCATCAGAATCACTACTCATGAAATCTTTGTAACCAAAAAAACACGGAATAAACGATGATAATATAGCTTGGAATCATATAGTAGAGTATACATACCATAAGCTTCACATAGTAGAAGATGTAAGGTAACAAGAAATACCAACAATAAAGTAGGCCTCATGATTTCAACTATTAAGGAGATAGTATATTACGTATGTGATAGTTTGAGGATGTATATATATAGCTTAGTGTATAAACAAACAAGAAGATATGTAATTTATAAGTAGTATGTGTAACTCTTGATCTCTCTGTATATATATGGTTTGAGAGAAATGGGGATATGAAGGTGGTTGTTGATCGAGTAAACAAGACTTTGATAAGAGTGGCTTATAACTTAATAAAATACTAATGAGAGAAAAGCCTACTTAAATAAGAGATCGGAGGGTCCACCTTTGTTTTGTCAACATAGACATGGCAAATGGGGCTGTTTTTCTGTTCACTTCCCCTTCCTTTTCGTCTTTCCTTTTCTTTTCGTTTTTTTTGTTTTCTTCTGTTGTGTGTTTTTTCCTTGTATTAATTAAGGGTTGCTAATTAAGCTAGCTCACTTATTTCTTGTTATCGGCCTATCTTTTAGACATTATATAATGTACAGGATGTCTTACCGGCATGATAATTAATCTAGTTCAAATTGTGAACAGTACATAGCAGTCTTAGTCCTTTATCCACGTACGTTTGCTCACTTAACGGCAAAACCACTGCTTGTTAAATGAAAGGTTCGTTTATACATTGCCGCGCCCTACCTTCACACTATAATAATATACTTATAAATACAGGCTGCTTTCGGTTTGTGACATTTATACATCAAGGCCGGCCACAATTATTATTATCGACTATTATGATCAAAATATAGCATGAGGGTGTATAAGCTATTAAAGATTGATATTTTTTTTTTTTTTTTTTTTTTTTTTTTACGGAATGTTAAAGATTGATAATTAAAGGCCAATTCATTAAATCTGATATCTATTTAAGATAAGCATTGATATATATGAGGGGAAAAAATAAGTAAATTTTATATCCTTTATGTATTCATCTTATCATCTTTCAGGTTCTTTATAATAACTCGTGTATTCCATTTTATTTATTGAAAAAAATGAAGCAGCAGCCTGGGGAAAAGAGAGAAGGGTTTATGGGGGACACTTGAAGTGACCTAGTTGCCTAATTTGTGGGCACGAACCAAATTGTCTAAATGTCTAAAGTCTAATGAATAAACCAAGTTATGTTCTAACTATTTATTTATTTATCTATGGTAAAAGACCAATTTGCATCAGTCCCTATTAGTATTTTAAACCATGAGGCCGGATTGAGAAGGGATGGTGTGTTATGGTGTAAGATATGCATAATGCATGTCATTCTTAATTAGTGTGTTTAATTAACTTAAAACATGTTTTCTTATTGATATAAATTTATTTTAAGTCACCCTTAACTTGTCGTCATCATGGTACAAAATCATATGGGATGTCATAATAATTTAGAATTTAGACGTATAATTATCTCTAACAATCTTAAGATCAGAGGTGTATGTCTCAATATATGATATAATAAGATCTGACTTCAATTTTGAACATGATAATAAAAAAAAAAAGAAATAAATAAATAAATAAAATAAATAAATAAAGCCAAGATTTGAGAAGAGGTATATAAGAGATAAACCAACTTTATTGAAGGTCTTGTTGAATGATAAAAATGATCAAGTGCATAATCTGTAACATGCGATAGGAGTATAGGATTATGTGGAGTTAAATGCTGCGTAGTACTCTCCCTATCCTTTTTTTTTGGCGAAATTGGCCTTAACAGCACGAACTTTTAGCAAGGTGCAAGTAGCAGCATGAACTTTAACTAGTAGCTATAACAACACAAACTTCTGCATTAGGTGCACAAAATATCATAAATGAAGCTCAATACCAAAAATTATTGCCGAAGACAGGGTATCTAATATTTTTTATTATAAAAAAATCATCTAGTATTTTGTGCCTCGATTTGTATGCGGAAAAAAATGATCAAACGAGGTTTTGGAGGTCAATTTAGTCAATATGGGTCAATTTTGAGATTAAATTAGCAAAATAAATTACAAAAAAGCATCGATTTGCATGCTATAAAAATGTCTCAATTAAGGTATTGGGTCAATTTGGACCTTCAGGACTAAATATGATATCAAAATTTGCAAAAAGTCAATAAAATATTAAAGATTTCACGTCTTCGACAAAATTTCTGGTCCTAAGTTTCATTTATGATATTTTGTGCACCCGATGAAAAAGTTGGTGCTGTTACGACTACTAGTCAAAGTTTATGCTGCTATATTTACCTTGTTAAAAGTTCGTGTTGTTGAGACCAATTTTGCCTTTTTTTTCACTATAAACTCACTTTTTAGGTCAAATAGTATAAAAAAGAGGGGACTAAAATGATCTATTGATGAGAGGTCCACAGCTAGTTAGGTAACATGGGGTGGGATGGGATGGGGCAAACTATGTTCTTTCATGTTTCCACGTTTTCTTTATCCCTTCATCAACTTTGCTACATGCAAACCATATGACTAGTCTTTCTGAGTTTCTGATGACCTTATTTTGGCTTTAATCCTTCATATATACGATGCTGCCTTTTTATTTTTAAGTGTGAACACATATTAATGCATGCAAGTGTTGCATATATTGAGCTTAAAATTTACTCCCTATATCCCTTTATTTATTGTCCCATTGTCATTTTTTGAATCAAATTTTGAAAACTTTGATCATAAATACTGTTAATATATAAGAAATATAATATAATGATACGAGATCTTGTTAGATTAATCGTATATATATTGTGTGAGACTTACGCAATACAAATTGAATTTGTAATATGTTTTGTCTCTTCTATTATGAACTTATTGGTCATAATGTAAAGTCATCAGTTGAAAGTCTAATCAATTGGGTTGATGCGCCCCACCATAGAACCGTTATATCACCCTATCAATTTTGTGGGTAAAAATTTAGGTACTCTATATATATGCCAAGTAATAATATGCGATTGACATGTACTGTTTAACATACATCCTTTCGGCACAATCAACAACCACCTAACCTATTCCAACTATATATCATGAATCTTCAAAATATCATACATATATGGCTATTAAAACTATACATGTTGACAATTAATATCCAACCCTACCGAATATTTGCCATCAATTGAGTAAATTGATTAGACAATACCCGCCATCGTTTTTACCCTCCTTTTTCATTTCAATATTTAATTAAATGAATTCATCATTAGAGGTTAAAGATTATATGTATCATACCTAAAAACTAAGATTGCCTCATTTTCTTTATTGATATAAGGTAGTTGACGAAGTAGAAAATATATAGCACACTCCGTTGTTGGTAATTTGGGAGGTTTGATATGCACTTTATTATGTCGATTATTTTCCAAATATCTAATTCTTTGTTGTTGATTTCATTACGTTTGTATGTATAATGTATGCGGTGTAATTATATCATAATGTTTTGTTTTTAGGTTAAAAAATCTACGTGTATAAAATTGCAAAATATATACTACTTATAATCCATTGAAAGAGCAAGCTAAGCCCACACATCTGGATTAATACAAAGGTAAATATACATGAATTTATGTGAATGTGTCTAGTAATGACAAAACATTGGCACTTGAAGAAAAGGGTGTGTGTTCCTACGATCGAGTTTAAACTCTTAAAGTCTTAATAAAAGAGGATTCCACATTGTCTTCCACTTTCGCTTGTTACTCAATTCCCACGACAAACAAATTATTAGGGTTGTCTTGTTCTCCTGTTATAGGTGGAAAATAAGTATATAATTTTACATATTTTTAATAAATGAACCCACTATATTTTGCCTAAGCTAAGCAAAAGATGTCCAGATTTCTCAAATTCCAATTACTACTACTATGATGCTCTTTAAATGAAATTGTGGAATAAATAATTAATTTATTTACTACCACACCTTTGTACTTGAAGGCTGAAGCAAAAAGTTTAGGCACTTCAATGATTTGTACACGAGTGGTGGGGAATTTTATTTAAGTGTTTGTATTAAAAAGAGTATTGTTTCAAAAATATATATACTTCCTCCATCTCTTCGTCTTTCCATAAATAATCCTATTTAATTATTTAATGTTAATGGTAATGTGTATGGTGAAGACACATTCAGATAAGAGAGCAGAATATAAGGTATGTAATACTTACTCCGTAGATGATATATATGCAAATTGCCTTGTATAGCATATCGTACTCCATCGATCTGCTTGTAACACCTCCCATACACAATCGGTATAGGTAGACTTATTATAATACGTATTGGACATCGTAAGATGGTCGAGAAGGGCTAATTAGCTAGCCAATAGGGTGGGTTAGTAATAGTATGTCAAGCTCAAAGAGGTCCCTTGTGTCACAAATTGTAAGATATGTTCATGGCTTGGTGTAAACAGAGGAGTTAATTGTGTCCCAACAATTCCCAACCAAACAAGAAAACTCCATAATTCCACATAATCCATGTTGCTAGAAGGTCGTACTATATATATATATATATATATATATATATATATATATATATATATATATATATATATATATATATATATATATATATATATATATATATATATATATATATATATATATATTACATGACTTCCATTGGGATGAATTATAATCACACATTAATTTCTGGCAAATCTTTGGCTTTCCCCACAAGATCATTGTCCTCAATAGATATGTTTTAACTTTTTACTGACTTTTAATTTTATATGCTGGTCGCGCCCACACCTTTTGTGCTGACCAGTCATCATGGAGTTATTTTATTAATGTTATAGCCTTATAGGGGTTACTCTTGTTAGAGTTTAGGGATTACTTTGTTATATAAGGGTTACTCAATAGCTATAATAAAGGGTTATCCGTCAATATGATTGACGTTACTTTGTCAGTGTCATAGAGATTATTCAAGTTTTTTTACAAGCGGTCACATGATGTGACTAGCTGCATGGAAAACTCCTTTTAAAAATTCGGCTAACACTAGTACTAATTTTATAAAATAGTATATATATTTGATTAGTTAGCTTGATAAATTAATATTTACAATTTTTAACATAAATTTTTTAAGATTTCTTATGTTGAGTTCATCAAAATAAGGGTTTATTGCTCAATCTATTACCTAATCAAGTTGAAGTAGTGGAATTTTGAAATTTTATAGTAATATACTTCTTTTCTTATTTCGCTTGCATTTTCAAAACTAACTTTTCGTTCATCAAATTAGACCTTGTTCTCTTCACCTTACAAAAAAAAAATATTCGATAAAAATAATTTTAGTTTAGTAAAAATTAGTAATTTTAGTGATAACACATTTATAGACTCATTTTTATATGTTATATTTGGGTGTTTCTATCATATTTTCTTTATATATTAAATCTTTTAGAGCTATTTTTCTTTATATTTCAATATTGCTCTCCTCGTGCTTTCTTTCTTTGTTTTGTAGGATTTATGCCTAGAAGAGCGCATTTGCAAGCTAAGTTG